GACGAGCCCACGGCTGCTCTCAGCTGTCTGCAGCAGCTGCATGGCGAGGGGCGGGGGGATAGCACCCCCGGGGCAAATTTGGCATCAGAATTAAAAAAAGAGTTTCTATTTTGGGAAAAGCGAGGTTAGGAAGAGCCAAAAATGTGAGCGGAGAAGCAACCTGAGACCATCTCGGGTGGTGGAGCTGGGATGCCCGTGCCTTGATCTCCCCGGTTAAAATTCAGCCCGGTTTTTGGATGCAGCAGCGATGCTCCAGCGGTTGGTGGCATCCCAAGGGTCATCTCTTCGTGCCTTCAGTGCAGGAGGGCAGGTTACATGAGCACACGGCTCCCTTTTTGCTTTCTAATCCTTCTATTCAGTCTGGCAAAAGTCTCTGCCTTTCCAGCCATGCCTGCATTAGGGCTCCAGCCAGCGCCGAAGGGTTGGGGGAATTTTGGCATCTTTTTCTTGGTGAAGCTCCCTGCGTCAATCCAGCACCAGCTGGGTTGGATGTAATTAGCCAAAAGCCATCAGAAACCCTGGTAGCGTGTGGAAATGCAAAGCTTGATTAGATACATCAACGTGCAACAGTTCAACGTGACGGATGCGTTTCGGACATCAAATCTGCTTTTTAATTGCTCTTCATTTATTTTAGGAGCCGGAAAATTCAAATCCGAAACATCCCACCCCAGCTGCGATGGGAGGTAAGAGGAGGAAGTGGAGAAGTGTAGATCAGATTTAAGGACTAATTCCTCCCCGTGGTTTCTGTACTTGAGATTGAAATTGATTTATCCTTTTCTTTATTATTAATTGGGTCTAATTTTACTAGACCTTTGCATGCCTGTAGCTTATTCCTCTTCCACTACAGGAGTAAATTCAACTGGTAGAAGCAGCGTAAGCTGCACCAAGAAAAACTCCCATTAATAACAGGGTTATATGGTTTATCTATTGTATAAGCAACAAAATGGATCCTTTCTTCCCGCTGCCTGCTGGGACTTCTCCTCAACTCTTCCCCCACCCCAGCTGGCTCCATGGCCCCTTGGTCCAGTGTCCTGGGGCAGGCAGGAGCTTCCTTCGTCTAATTGCTTGTGAAATCTTAATGACTAGAAAGCTGCCTGTATTGATTGATTTTATTTCCCTGGTCTGTCCTGATGATCCCAGTGCGGGGCTTTTTTCTCCCTTTTCCAGGTTCTGGATGGTTTGCTAGCCCAGTATGGCACTGTAGAAAACTGCGAGCAAGGTAGGACTGAAAAAAAGATGCGAACTTGCTGTTATTTAAAATATTTTCTGCCCCAGCTATTTTTGGGGGGAGGACACACACGTGGTTTTCCTTTGTCAGCAGAAGCCGCGGCTAAAGATGTCAAGAGGTCTCAGCCTGGTTGCTGGGGGGCTTTTTTTTTTGTGGGGTTTTTTTTTTTGTTCTCTGTTGCTAAAAGATGAGTCCCATGCGGTGGCTTTGGGCAGCGCACGTGGGTGTCCCCACAGCAGGTGCCAAGTCGGCATTGTTCCCACTGCATCCATGGGTATCCACCCTCAGCCGCTTCGGGGGAAGGTGCAGGATGCTCTCCTCTCCCGAGGCCGGCCGAGGACTGTCTGTCTCCGCTCAGCAGATTTTATCTCAGCCTCTAATGGTGATCAGTTGAGACAGGAGGTTTAATATTGCCCCCGGGATGTTTAATGAGAGTAGAGTTACCATAACCCTCCTGGAAATGGAAAGGAGGGCTCAGAGGAGCTCCTGGGACCGTCCCTGGGTTCTGGCGAGGGATAGCAGGATGGAGTTGGCTTTGCTGCAGAGCGCAGTGGCGCATCGGGATCCTTTAAATAAGGCAGGAGGGTATGTGCTGCCTGGGTGAGTCCCAGCGTGGCCTGAGCCCTCGGACACCTCGGACAGAGAAAAATGTCTGCAGATCGCTGGGGAGCACCAGAGGGGACTGGTCCAAGCAGGGACTCATCTGAGCGGGGACTCTCCGCTTTTTGGGGGGTCTTGGCCCGAGGCGTTTGTGCTGCCTTTCTAATTTCTGCCTGTTTTGCTCGCAGTGAACACAGACAGCGAGACGGCCGTGGTCAACGTCACCTACGCCAACCGGGAGCAGACCAGGCAGTAAGTGCCCCGTGGTCCCCCGGGAGCTCGGGCTGCCCTCCCTGCTGCGGCTCCAGCCCCTTCCCCCTTGCAGAAAATAGGATTTCTAGTGCTGAGAATCAGATTACCCCAGAATCCCTGGATTTTGGCTAAAAAATGCAGCAAATCTTTGAGGACACCCTCCCCGAGCTCTGGTTTCTTTTTCTTTACCTTCAGATGGACATCCAAGTTTTTAGGCTTTTCTCTGCAGTTCAGAGAGTGAAAACATAAATTTTCGTTCATGGAAAAGTGGAGATTTTCTTGTACTTAGATGATTTCAAGAGTTACCTCTCCAGAAAAAGTAATAATGAGTCTAAATATCATAGGAGGTGGTAGGTGTTGGGCAACACATGTCCTCTCTGGCTGATGGCCTTGTCATTGGGAGAGGTGCAGCTCCCTTCCCCATCCTGCCTGAGGAAGATCAGACTTTGCACTAAACGCAAATGGAAAATGAGTTGGGTTTTCACTGGTGTTTGTTTCACTTTGCTTTTGCCCTGGTGAAGGGCTCTGGAAAGGGACGGGATCAGCGCTTTCCTTGGAGGGCAGGGATTGACTGATGGGTTTTTGTCCCGGAAGGTTTCCGTCACCAAGGCACGCACGCCTCTAATGTGGCCACCGTGGCTGCGCTGCCGTCCCCGAGGACATCGCCTGTGGTCACTCTGACGAAGCGCTGGCTTCCAAATGGCCACCCGGCTGATAATACCTCAGCTGTCAAGCTCAGATTTGCTGTGGTTGCGTGCCTGGCCGCAGCAAACCTTCGTGGGGGAACCACTGTCTTGTTCTACTTTCTGTAATAACATGGAGCAGGGTCCGGCCGTGGAGCCCAGCAAGGGGATTGTCCTCCCGTCCCTTGTCCATCCACAGCAGCCCTGCTCTTTGCACCCCAGAAGGTGGAATATTTTGAGTTTCTTTTACCAGGAAGCACCCAGCAAAAGAGTTTCATGCAAGTAGTTTCACTCTCAGATCTGCAGCCCTTCTCCTCTGCTTTTTCTTCCTCCAGGGATTTGTGTGTTTCGTCGAGCATCTTTCTCTGGTCCCTTCGCATCCTGCAGGGACAGGGCTGTTAGCAGGGAAACTCTCTGTTTAGCCAGTTTTAGAGTTTTTTTGGGGGGGGGTTGCGTGTTTTTTTTACAACAGTTGAGTCACCGACCACTTTCTAGAGAGCTGCAGTTTGGGTTGTCTCTCTAGAAAAACCGGGGAGGTTTGAAGGAGCTGTGGAGAGCGGTGGCCAAAGCCGTCACTTTGCTCTTGCTGCCAGCCCCATCTATCGACAGCTTTCAGCTCTTGCAGTCCCTGAAGCCCTGCCAGGAGAGGGATTTGAGAGATTGGACAAAAATCATCAGGTGGAGGAGATGTGGGAATCACTCCCTGCACGATCCTATCCTTGCCCTGGGTGCTTGGAGAGGTTCCCCTTAAAATACTTGGGCTCATCCAGGCTGGGTGGAAAGCCCTGCCAGGTCCCCGTGGCATCAGTGACATCTCCTTTCCCCACTCCCAGCGCTTCCTTGCTGGGTGTGACGCCAGGGAGGGCTTCTCCCATTTTGGGTTGAGCTGATGCGTTGCCAGGACGTGACAGGAGGGACCCCAACCGCTTCTCCCCTTCCAGAGCCATCATGAAGCTGAACGGGCACCAGCTGGAGAACCACGCGCTGAAGGTCTCCTACATCCCCGACGAGCAGTCCATGCAAGGGCCGGAGAACGGGCGGCGGGGCGGCTTCGGGGCACGCGGTGCCCCCAGGCAGGGCTCCCCCGTCACCGCGGGGGCACCGGTCTATATCCCCCTCCGCCTCCTGGTGCCCACCCAGTATGTGGGTGCCATCATCGGCAAGGAAGGGGCCACCATCAGGAACATCACCAAGCAGACGCAGTCCAAGTGAGTCCGTTCTCCCACGAGCCGGTTTACGCCTTGTGGAGCCGGGTGGGCTGCAGGGATATACTTCTTTTGGAGAAGGGGCTTTTTGAGGTCCCTCCAGCTCTCCTGCCTTGCAGGGCAGCGTGTCCAAGAGCCGCCTTCCCATGCCTTGACCCAGTCAGGCTCCTGCGCTTCCCCACGTGTCCGCCTTTGCCGGGGTCGCCTGGGCTGGGATGGGACCCGGGTCTCTGCTTCAGCCGGTCTCATTTAGCACGAGCCTGTTGACCTTCACCCGCCTACTCTTGCATTTGGCCCCTGAGCTTATGTTGGCTACGGCTCTTGTCCCCCCAAGGAAGGCTTTTTCTAAGACGTGAAGTGATGGACAGCTCATCCCGTCCCCCAGGCACGTGCTTGTTCCACCACTTAATCACTCCTGTTGCTTAAAATAAATAGATGCTGATGCCTTATTTGGATTTCTGTGATTTGAGCTTCTAGCCGCTGCGTCCATGTCAAGTATCAAGCCTAGAATTAACTCCTCTCCCCTTCCCTGGGTGCATATAACCTTACAGTCGAGTGTGAGCTCCAGGCAGTTCACGGGGACGTGGGGAAAGCGGAGTAGCTGGGAAGCCCCAGAGCCACTCCCGTGCCCCAGCGCCCATCCCGTGCTTGCAGGATCGACGTGCACCGGAAAGAAAACGCGGGAGCTGCAGAAAAAGCCATCAGCATCCACTCCACCCCCGAGGGCTGCTCCGCCGCCTGCAAGATGATTTTGGAGATCATGCAGAAGGAGGCGAAGGACACCAAGACGTAAGGTTTCCCCCCGCCTTTCTGTGCATGTGTATCCCATCCGCGGCTCTTCGCTGAGCTCTGGTGCCGTCCTAATGCCCAGAGCTGGGTGATGCTCCCATGTGTGCAGGAGCTTTGGTTTGGGGGACCCAGGGACTCCAAGCAAGGGGACTTGAGCTTCCCCTATCCCTCTGTACCAAGTCCCTCCTCTTCTGGCTGCAGTAATCCTTCATGTTGTTTTTTTTCCCCATTCCTCTCCCAAGAGCTGATGAAGTGCCTCTGAAAATCTTGGCCCATAACAACTTTGTGGGGCGCCTGATCGGCAAAGAAGGGCGGAACTTGAAGAAAGTGGAGCAGGACACAGAGACAAAAATCACCATCTCGTCGTAAGGCTCCTCGCTGCCTTTGGGGAAACCAGGGCAGACCTTCCTCAGCCCGGGGCAGAGGGGGAGGATGAGGAGGAGGCGGGGGAGGAGGGGGACAGAGATACCTGCCCGCCAGATGAGAAACCAGCCTGTGCTGTGGATCCTTTACTGCCCAAAGCTCTCTTGAAAAACCTGGGCTTTATGTTTTCTATATTCCCCTCCCTGTCCCTTTGGTGTCCCCCTCCTGTCCCTTTGGTGTCCCCCTCCTGTCCCTTTGGTGTCCCCTCCCTATCTCTTCAGGACCGCAGAGCTCAGCACCGGCTGGTTTGATGGCTGAGACTGGGGTTTTACTCTTAAGCCATGTTTTTGGGTGAAGGCAGAGTGGACTTTCCCAGTGCAAACCGTAATGCTGGTCCCTGCTTTGACTGGGACTACATGCTCCCAGTACGCGGTAGCAGTGACACCCAGTGTCCCCAGCACCCCAGTAGCACCCATCAGAAGGACCGGAGGACCCGGTGTAGCCCTTCTTGGGCAGGGTCTCAGTGCTGACGCTGGCTTTCCCATCAGCTTGCAGGACCTGACTCTGTACAACCCCGAAAGGACCATCACGGTGAAGGGCTCCATCGAGAACTGCTGCAAAGCAGAGCAGGAGATCATGAAGAAAGTGAGGGAAGCCTACGAGAACGACGTGGCTGCCATGAGCGTGAGTGGCGTTCGATCCTGCCCTGCGTCTCAGCTGCTGGGAGCTCTCTAGGAGGATGCCCCGCTAAAAGCAACGAGCCTTTCTCTCCTCTCGCCCTCAGTTGCAATCTCACCTCATCCCTGGCCTTAACCTGGCTGCGGTTGGCCTCTTCCCTGCCTCCTCCAACGCAGTACCTCCTCCGCCGAGCAGCGTCTCCGGGGCTGCGCCGTACAGCTCCTTCATGGTAGGTGAACACCAGGCAGCTCAAACTGCTCCTGCTTCCAGCTCGGGGGTCTCCCCAGCGTGGAGAAGACCCTTGCAGTGGTCGGGGTTATGCCTTCATCATCCCCTGCTGTCAGCAGGCAGGTCAGGTCCAGCGTGGGTGCAGGATCTGGTCTTTTAAACTATTGCAAACGGGATGGAGGAGTAGGTGCTCAGACCCCGTGGGGTCTGGTGGTGGCTCAGCCACCCTTGGAGAGGTGTGGGCATCGCTTGGGGTGGGGGGACGTGGAACCCCGAGCCCTGGACGGTGGCACTGAGCCCTGAACGGTGACGCTGTACCCGCAGCCTCCGGAGCAGGAGACGGTGCACGTCTTCATCCCCGCCCAGGCGGTCGGCGCCATCATCGGCAAGAAGGGCCAGCACATCAAGCAGCTCTCCCGGTTCGCAAGTGCCTCTATCAAGGTAGGGTTGCCCCAGCGGGGACCCCCCGCCTCTGCCACCCCCTCCCCGAGCGGGGGCCTTTCTGGTTGGGAAAACCACCTGAAAAGCCCAGGCAGTCGGGCTGGGGGCCTAATCCTGCGGGATGGGAGAGGGAGGGCATGGCCACCACCCTGCCCGTGCCACTCCCCGCCGCAGCCACCGTCTCTCTTCCCCCTCCAGATTGCCCCTCCGGAGACGCCGGACTCCAAAGTGCGCATGGTCGTCATCACGGGCCCTCCAGAAGCTCAGTTTAAGGTTCCCCCTGCGCTGCTGTCACCGCGGGGGATTCGGGGTGCCCCTCTCCACCGCCCCATGGAGCCGGGAAGGGAGGAGCAGGGTGGTGACCCCAATTTTGAGCCCAGACTGTGGCTGGGTTAACCCGACATCAGGTCTCCAAGGGGCTGAGCTTGGTTTGAAACCCTGGGGAACTGGGATTTCATGGGATGCTGACCCATCCCAGAGATGGAGACCCACTGAGCCGGTGGGGATACGCGGGGGTAGGACATCTTGGATGGCTTCTGACTCCGTGCTCCCTCCTCTCCGCAGGCGCAAGGCCGGATCTATGGGAAGCTGAAGGAGGAGAACTTCTTTGGACCGAAGGAAGAAGTGAAGCTGGAGACGCACATCCGGGTCCCTGCCTCGGCCGCGGGCAGGGTCATCGGCAAAGGGGGCAAAACCGTAAGCGGGAGAGATGCTTGGGTGGGGATGGGAGCACCCTGGAGGGGAGGATGTCCCTGGGAGAGTGGCTGCTTCGTGCCAGTGCCTGGGGACAACCCAGGGATGGGTTTCCCAGGGGGCTGGCTGGGTTTTGCTGGGGGACTGGCGGGGATTTCCCGCAGGGGCTTGTCCTTCCCGCATGGCGCAACGGGGTGGTCTCTGCCCCTTCCCCGCAGGTCAATGAGCTGCAGAACCTGACGGCAGCAGAGGTGGTGGTGCCGCGGGACCAGACCCCAGACGAGAACGAGCAGGTCATCGTGAAGATCATCGGGCACTTCTACGCCAGCCAGGTACGGCCCCAGCAGCTCCTGCACGAGCACGAGTGGGTTCTCCGATGGCTCGTAGGGGGCTGTGTCCACGTGGGTATCCTCCCGTGGAAATCTTTCCCACGCCTGGCCGGTGGTGGTTGCAGAAGTGGGTGACGGTGAGCTGTGCCTTTTGCTGTGGGTGATGGTGTGGGACAGCGGGGGGAGCAGGGAGAGCTGTGGGAGCGTGTGCCCACGCAGCGTGTCGCCTCCCAAACCCAACTCCTG